TGTAGTAGAAGGATTAGGATTTGAACCCACATCTGCCTTACCAAGCACTTGCTAGTACACGAGGCTGTGCAGTCTGCTGTGGAGATAAAGCCGGGAGGAGGGTGATTTCACAGGGAAGTCCTGTCATTTTTCAAGGACTGATTGCCTCAGAGAGCCACTTTCTCTTAGTATCTTTCTGAGCTCTTATCTTCGTATTGCATTAGCGAGAATCATCCCTGGTTAGGTCATAAAGAATTTAAAAGATCATACTAAAGCCTGTACACTGAAGTTCGAGAAGGTGGTAAAACTAGCTTTTCATAAAATAACAAAGACTTGCAACTAAGGGAAAAAACAAATTAAACATTAGAGGCTCAGTTTTCTTGTTGAAGGGAAGAGATCTCCTGTTGTCTTAGAACGTTTTAGTTAGAAAACCTATAAATTGAAAGTCCTTTCTCTTTCTGTTTGAAATGTATATAACTTTAAAAAAGTTAATTAAGCCTCTTGCCAGCCTTATCACCCAGGAATGTCACATTTCTCACAAGGATCTGGGAAGTATCTCTGAAGTATAATTGCCAAAGAAGATAGCGCCCTATTTCCAAATTTCTGTGGGACAATGGGAGCCCAACTATGGTGGATGGGAGCCTAAAAACTACCTTTTTCATAAAGACAGGAGAAATGTATTTTTCTATTGGATAAAACCAATTAATTAAAACAGATGGTCACTCTAATTACCAAATGAATTTAGGATCAACTTCGGTGCTTTCAAATCTTACTTGAGACTAGTCACTGTTTATCTTGAGAACATGTATGTAATGAGTTGTATCTGCATGGCTACAATCTTGTGCATTGTTTAGGGCTGAGCACCTCTAGCTTCTGCAGTATCCTCATCTCCTGCACCCAGTAAGTCATGACAGTAACAAAATGTCTTTCAGTATTGCCAATGTCTCTAGGAGGAAAAACTGCCACCAGGTGAAAACCACTGGCCTAGAGCTCCCACAGGCTGCCTTTGTCACCATATGGAAATAACATGCTTAAGAATAAGACCTATAGAGAGGAGAAGAGAGCCAGCAGATAACAAGGCAGTAAAGAGAGGACAGGCAGTACCAGCATGCTTTCAGGCCTTGAATCCAGCTGTACTTGAAATGAGAAGCACACACCTGTCATAATGTGAGGCTTTTAAAAAAAATACATTCATAGAAGCTAGTTTTAGCCATGTTTCTGACATTTGCATCTTAAATAGGCTTGATTGACAACTACCATACAACCTACATGGAAGTAAGTAGGACAGATATTAAGCTGGTAAGTAAAATAAAGTGTGACAGGTGCTATGTAAGTAGAGTAGCATGGACACTGGCAGCAGGAGCGCCTCCTGGGGGTGGAGGGAGGAAGCCTCACTGGGAAGCGCTTCTGAAGCTAAGCAGAAGTGATTCAGATGAGGTGAACTGGATGGAGTCTGGGGAGAATGCTGCGGACGCAGGACCAGCCTGCAAGCACGGGAGAACAAGACCAAACAAAGCCCGCGCAGATGGAGCTAGGGACAGCAGGAGAGGTGACACAACAGACAGGTGAGTCAGCAGAGGCCTCATTAGAAAACAGCTGGCGCGCTCAGCTGAAGGTAACTGAGCAGGGTTTTTCTACAAAGGGACTAATTATACAATTCTGGGTGGAGGGTTGATTCTTGAACGAACATCAGAATCATCGTAAAGCCCTGTTAAAATAGAGGTTCAGGGGCTCCACCCTAGAGCTTCAGATCCAGCAGGTCCAGGGTAGGGCCTGAAAATCTGCAATCCTAACAAGCTTGAAAGTGGTCTCCTGATTCCGCAAATCTGTAGAACACACTCTGAGAACCACCGATACAGGGAAATTTTAAGGATGGTGCAGGAAACCAGTAGTTAGCTAAGTTGTAACCACCCCAGATACAAAGGAACAAGCTATGTGGGGTGTAAACTGGAACTGCGAACAAGAGAGAGGTTTGTGCAGAGCAGGTATCGTACCAAGAAACTGTGACATTCAGTGTAGGGACCGGCCAGCTCCAGGCAACATCTCGGGAAGTGAGGAGGGAAATAAATACCCGATCTCACTGTCCTCCTTCCCCTGTATCTCTGGCCAGGGCGCCCTGTTCGTCTACTCCATAAGGAAGAACTTCCCAACACAGTAGGCAGGGTGGAGACGGCCAGGAAGGTCAGAACGAAGATTTGCATTAGATAGGAAGAAGAGAAGCATTAACCAAAATGTGGAAGGGTTTACAAGTTAATTATATAGTTGATCCTATATCCTTGGGACAATGCAAATTACTGAAAGATTTTACACAAGAAAAGGGCATGACCAGATTTTTCTTTCTGAAACAAGACTCGAAAGATAAGTACAGAATACAGTTAAGGAGGGCAAGATTCTCATATTAGGATATTATTCCAGGTGACAGTGGAGATGGAGAAAGTGGGCAGCTTTCTGCATTATTTAAGGAGCACATTCAATAAACCACAGTGGAATGAAGAGTAATTCAAAAATAACTAGTAAATTTTTGGCTTGGGAAATCTATTGAATAGTTTTGGCATGTCCTGATACAGGAAACTCCAGAAGGGACAGGTTCAGGGAAGATAAATCATGAATTCAGTCTGGAACATGCTAAATTTGAGCTGCTTATGGGGTGGAAAATATACCAGAGGTAGATAGATAGGCCTAAGGCTCAAGGCTGAAGATGTAGAATAGTGAATTTTCAGTATAAGAATGGTAATCAAGCTATGAGAAAGGCTAAACATGACCAAGGAAAGTCAGTAGGGGGAGAAGTTCAAGGCGTCGATCTGATGATCGGTAAGAGTTACTACTTCACACTAAAAATTAGTATATTAATGATTATGCAAATCAGGCTGAGGTTTACAAAGAAAAATCTATTGATTATCGGCATTATTCTTATTTAAAATGACTCACACTAAATATTAAAAACCAAGGCTAGGCCAGCAAGATGAGAGATGAGGAAGGCTAGTATCTCTAAGAAGACTAACTAACCAAGAAAGAGCTCGTATAACAGGGCAGAACTCTGCAAGGGAAAACCAGAAGCCGAAAGGACTGGCACAGCAGCAAGAAGGGTGAAAGGATCAAATAACGACAAGGCCTCATCCGTGGTCTCAATTCAAAACCAAAAATAATTTTCAGAGAAATAAATATCAAATAATAATACCACTTCCTATCCCCTCAGTTCATGTACTATTTATCTTTCATGCCACAGCTCTAAATCATGATCTCTTAACTTTCACTTTCTGGTCTTCAATTTCCTTAAAGAACTATATATAGGAAATCAAAAAGGAATACATTCTAGAAAAACAAAACTTGTAATCCATTTTGAATCCCAAAGCTTAATTCAAAAGCACTAATTAAGCACATATGACAAATATATACATAAAGACATTGGTGATCTAACATCCGGGTTAAAGGAGGCTGGCCCCACCTCCTGGTTTCTCGAAGGAGTGTGTACCCAGGCTGTCCAATGAGTACATCACTTCCTTCTGACTAGGATAATTGCTTCAGGAGTTAGTGTATCACCTAGGTCAGGGCAATAAAACTAAATTTGGGCTCTCTTGATGAAATGATAGGCTCCAGGTACTGTATTTCGAGCTGGATGGTTAATCTAGAACTTCTGCTGGCAATTTTTCTTGCTACCTACAGAGAGGCACATATTTAAGAGTGAAATAAATACAGGGAAGCAAAGATTAAATTAAGGTAAAAGATCACGGAGATTAAATTCTGATACTCTGCATCTAGTCACACTACCACTGGCCTTTATAAAGATGCAAACCAATAAATTACCACTTTTGCTTAAACCAGCTTGAGTTAGGTTTCTGAGAGTTACTCCTATAATAGGAACTAATCTATCTATTCCAATATTTTCACATCTTCAGTGGATTTTATGAAGTTCAAATATAAATGTACCACTTAAGCAGAATTTTTGGGGAATAATTGATAAAGTCTAGAATTTAGGACCTTATTGAGTAAATTTCAAAACATTAAAATAAATATTTTAAAGATTTGAAGAAAACGGAATTTTTTAAAATGATGCTTTATTTGTATTGCTCTTCTGCCAAAGCCTAATATCTCCTTTTAGATAGACAGATAGATAGATGGATAGATAGATAGCTAAGTCTCCCTTATTCCCTTATTCTTGATAATGAATTTTGTAATTAATAGCAATAAAGTATTTTCAAAATGCTGTAGAAATCACCTATATTTTCTGCTTCCATTGGTAAGGATTTTTATTGTATAGTTCACAATGATTTTTAAAAGAAAATTATTTCTGTTATTTTGTATGGTTTTTAGCAATAACTATATGCCTTAATATTATGGAAAATGTCAAAATAAACTTATTATTACAAAATATAAAGGCAAATGAAATATAATGACATTTTAAAAATAAGAGTTTATTTGAAAGAGATGAGTTAATTGATACTAACTAAGAAATAATGCTTTCCTGGCCAAGAAAGAATGCCTGGCTTATTTAATAAAAAATAAATAAAATAAAATATATGTCTTCCTGTTTCAATGTGCTTAATATTCTTGCTTTATATTTGTCAGATATCCTATATTATGCTTTTTCGACATATTTCTCACATCTCCAAAGATAAGAATCGTCCTATCTTAGTTTAGGAAATTTTGATCATGAAATTTAGTTTGCATCACTCATTCCTTCTGTTGATTAGGAAGTTACCACTATAAAAGTGAAAAAGAAATTCATTGTTGGGAAACAACATTCCAATTTACAAGTTAAGACCAAATATTTCATGTGATTAAATCATTAAATACTAGTTAATTAAAGGCAGACATAGCTGTCTAATAGAACTATACATCCCCTTTTGATTCTTTATATTTAGTTACAAAAATAATGTATATTTTGAATACAATAATTGAAGGAATTACATACTTGAAATATAGTATTGCTCTTCACCATTACTAACTCCTGACCATCAAAAATAAATAAATAAATCTTATGGCACTATCAATGGTAATAAATAATGAGACCAGGGACTTACATGATCAATTAGTTCACGGACCATTCCATTCCACTGTCCATTAGCATCATCCTGGGCTCCGTATTTGCCATCCTCCACAAGCCTGATTTCATACGTAAAGCCAAGGATTGTAGATAACTCTCTGAGCAGGTCAATGCAATAGCCCTCAAATCGATCGTTCCCATAGAGCGGTTTGTCAGACTTCTTAAACAGGACGTAGGGTTCTTCCTGAAAACAGTGAACAGGAAGGTACGAGGTGTCAGTTAGTCATGAAATTTACTACCAGAATTACAGTTTTCCCATATTAGCTAGAAAATTTCACATAAATTTAGGACAATGGTCAATTTTTTCTTCTAATTGTCATTAATGTAGTTTGAAATACTAAGAAGGCAGATCATCTGAGGAATATTCATGCTCCCCAAGAAAACAGTTAACTATAATAATTTTAGCATGACTATATAGTATGACATATTACATAGCTTATACCATATATCTTATATCACATATAATAAATAATATAAAGTGTGATGTATTATATGCTATATAAAAATATAATTTCATCATGATTATAATACCCCAATTTGAATTCTACCATTTAATGAATACCTGGAATGCTGTTTCAGTGGGATCTTTTGAAAGAATGAAAAAATGTCATTGTTTAATTGCTTACTATGTGTTAAAACTGGAGCAGGGTCTTCTATATACATCATCACATTTTGTCCTAATAACCATAAAAACTACTACTACTGTATTTACTTACAGGAGTAAAAGCAGTAGCTTACTTTAAAACATAGAAAAGGAAACTAACATTTATAAGCGCTTATGAATTCATCCAACAGCATTTTTGGGGAGCACCTACTAAGAGCCAGCCCTTCTCCATACAAAAGAGAAATCCCTGAGTCATGAAATCCATGATATACAGGAGGAAACCAATAATAAGCCCCTAAACAAATAGAACACATAACTTCAGATTCTGATAAATGGCATTAAAACATAAAATAGGGCAACAGAATACAGAATGACTACAGGGTACTTGGCAAGATAAGAGAAGTCTAGACAAAATTGAGTAATACGTCTGGAAGCCTTTTCTAAGGAAATGAGAGATGAGGTAGAATCAAAAAGCCGAGGAGTCCAGCCATCTGAAAATATGAAAGATGAGCATTTCAGGCCAAGGACACAGAAAGCAAAAATCCCTGAGACCAAACACACCAGAGTGTTCTGGGGAGAGGACAATGGCCATCGGTGTGGCTGAAGCCACGTCCGGTCAGCGCGGGAGTCTGCTGAGCAAGGTGCGAATGGCAAGTGAGAAGCCAAATCCTGTAAGTCTCTGCAAAGCAGCCCTATTAAAAATGTGTATGTTTGACTAAGTGCTCAGAGAATCCTTTTACCTCCTCATTGCCAAATCCTTTCTCCCAATGGAATTGAGCCTCCCTTTCCCTTGGTCACAACTGCACTCTGAATTTTTCCAGGAAATGATCTACCTGTAAGTTAGGATTTCTAAAATCCCATTCATCTACCTCATTATCCAATCACAGCCATGCTTACAATTTTCATTCCCATAAAGACCTCTAACCCAGTGACTTCTGTACTTTCCCACTGTCCATCAACTGCCTCCTAACCTCACTTCATTATCCGGTCTAGCTCCCCAGGTCCCCTAATATAATTGTTATACTGTACTCATGCTCATGTCCCTCCCTGCTTTCGTGCTGCAGTCCTTAGATTCACAAACACCACGCCTTACATGACTTTTTATCTTCTCTGTGCCTACCCTTGAAGAGCTGAACATTGCTAATTATTTACAGTAAAAATTAATACCCTCTAATGTTTTATGGCAGGGTGTTTCCAACTCCATGAGAAGAACACTTCCTCTGTTTTTCTTTATACTCACACCTTTCTACTTGAACACTTTGTTGACTACTTGAGGAAGGAAATAAAAGCAATCACAGGAGATAGTCCTACCTTCCCAACACAGAACTCAGGGAACCCATTTATCTAGGGTCATTTTCTCTCGCCTCTGTCTACTACTATAGAGTAACTGGCACTCTGCTCATTGGACCAGTCCCTATACTTAAGTTCTGATTCTTGCATACAGTCCCATCACAAGACACCACTTGGAGCGGAACAGGGATCTTCGGCTGAGAAATACAGCCAGTGTAAGGCAACCACAGGAGGGAGTCAACAAAACAGAGACCATGACCTCACTTCCCTCTTCTCCTCTGATCTCCTGCTGGGACTTCCCATTTATCAAATCTAATCAAAAGCCAGAGGGTACAGGAATATATTGATAGAATCCATACAGGTCAGCCTCCTGGGTTAGAAAGTAGGATAAACAAGAGGGGAGAAAGAATCTGCCTGGACAACAGGAAAGATACACAGCACCTTCCCACCACATTTCACTTGCTCCCAGACCTAATAAGCTGACTCACCTTCTCCCTTCCTCATAACCAATTGGTTCCTTTCAGTAGAATCAGTTTCAAAGTATGTGTACTTGCTCCAATCACCTGCCCTTAATCCCACAAATTGCTTCTGCCATTGACTAATTTCTGTTTCTCTTCATAGACACCAGTCTGGAAAGATCCATTGACACATATGTCTTGATTTATATGTGTTCCAATTACCAGCCCATCCATCAAA